TATGCATCTTTGGCTTAAAAATTCAGGTGGACTTCTAATTGCTAAAGTGCATATGGCAAAGAATATATTATTTTCTCTGAATCTTAAAACAACTGATGCAAAGTGTTTGAAGTCTAATGTGCAAGATGATTTATGGTGTTGGAACATGCGATTTGGGCACTTGAATTTTGAAGAGCTCAAATAATGGGAGAAAAGAATATGGTGCATGGGATACCATCAATCAACCATCCCAATAAATTGTGTGAAGCTTGTCTTCTTGGAAAACATACAAGGAGGAGTTTTCCAAAGGAGTCCATGTAAAGATCAACCAAACCGCTCCAGCTTGTTCACACTGATGTATGTGAGCCAATCTATCCACCTTCCTTTGGTAAAAGTAAATACTTTCTACTCTTCATTGATGACTTTAGTAGAAAGACTAGGGTTTATTTCTTGAACAAAAAATCTGAAGCTTTTGCTGCTTTTAAAAATTTCAAAGTACTTGTACAAAAAGAAAGTGGCTATGAAATAAAAGCTTTAAGGTCCGATAGAGGAGGTGAATTCACTTCAAAAGAATTTAATGACTTTTGTCAATCTCATGGAATTCGTCGCCCTCTAACGGTACCTTATTCACCCCAACAAAATGGAGTTGTAGAGAGAAAGAATCGAACGATTCTTAATATGGCTAGATGTATGTTAAAAGCTAAAATATGCTCAAGGAATTTTAGGCAGAAGCTATATCTTGTGCAGTTTATTTGAAGAACAGGTCTCCAATAAGGATTGTTAGAGATAAAACCCCTCAATAAGTATGGAGTGGAAGAAATCCAAGTGTCAAGCACTTAAGAATCTTTGGGAGCATAGCCTATGCTCATGTGCCACATCAAGGGACAACGAAACTTGACGATCAAAGTGTCAAGCATGTGTTTGTTGGCTATGATGCGAGTTCAAAAGGCTACAAGCTATACAACCCAAGTAGCGGCAAGATGGTGGTGAGTCGTGATGTTGAATTTAATGAAGAATTGGCATGGAATTGGGACGCTCAGGAAGAAACTTCATATGATTTTCTTCCATACTTTGGCGATGAAGAAGAACCAGAGACTGTAGAACTTGTGCAGGATACAACTCCACCTCCTTCTCCAACCAATGTTGCATCTCCTTCTTCTCAACAAAGTTCAAATGAGCAACCGCAAAGGATAAGGAGCATTCAAGAGCTCTATGATGGCACAAAAGAAGTTACTAATTTTGAATATTGTCTCTTTGCTGATAGTGAACCAATGAACTTTGATGAAGCTGTTAGAGATAAAAGGTGGAGACAAGCCATGGAGGAGGAGATCGAGTCAATAGAGAAGAACAACACTTGGGAGTTAACAACTTTTCCCAAAGGTCATCGAGCAATTGGAGTTAAATGGGTATATAAGACAAAGAAGAATTCTGATGGAGATGTGGAGAAATACAAAATACGACTAGTGGCTAAGGGCTACAAGAAAATACAAGGCATTAACTATGAAGAAGTCTATGCACCTGTTGCCCGCATAGAGACGATTCATTTGCTCATCTCTTTGGCGGCGCAAATGAAGTGGAAGATCCATCAATTAGATGTCAAGTCAACTTTTTTAAATGGCTATCTTGAAAAAGAAGTCTATGTGGTAGGTTTGGGTCTGGAGTAGTTTTGGAGTGAAATGAAAGCTGTCTCTTAGTTAGAAAGCTAAGTTAGAAAAGTCAACTGGAAGTTTACTTATGAGTAAACGAATTCGGATTTGGATTTTTATGATTCGATTAGCTTCGTTGGATGAGTTTAGACTTAGAAGTGTGTCCGGAATATAATTTGGTGGTCCGTGGTAGAATTAGGCTTGAATTGGTGAAAGTTGGAAGTTTAGAAGTTCTTAGGCTTGAATCCGAGGTTGATTTGGTGTTTTGGTGTTTTCGACGCCGTTTCTTCAAGCATAAATGATATCATATTGAACGAATGAGCTCCGATTTCTTTTTTGATTGAAGTATTAGATCTGTATTGTAATTACGGACCCGTAGCAAAAGAATCGTCGAATTTGGACATCGTATGAGGAGTTTATGGTAATTTTACTAAGAATTAGGTTGCCAGCTTTGTCAGTGTAATTATGAAATTGCCACTGACGGTGTATTTAAAAATCTATACGATTTGCAAATATTAAAACCTACATATCTCCTTCATTATAAGGTCAAATCGAGTGATTCAAAAGCCTAACTTGACTAAAATTTCACAAAAAATCCATTGGAGGCATAAAAAGTGAGTTTCGGGATCATTTGTCATGAGAAACGAGGCAGAATAGCTGGCAAAAAAATATATAAAATGAGGGTTTGTTCATTCGGTCATATTTTGAGTTGGGGAGCTCGGATTTGGGCGATTTTGGGGGTGATTTTCACTATATGGATTGGGGTAAGTGTTCTCTACTCAGTTTTGGTTATATTTCATGAATTAATCTTCGTTTTTGGGATTTGATTGATGATTTTAAAGTGAAATTGAGGGAGTTTGGGTTTGAGTTTTGGAGAGTTTAAGTGAGGATTTGAGGGACCAAAATGAGTCCGATTTTGATAAATTTTATATGGTTAGACTCGGGAGAGAACGAGGTTTATTATTCTGCCCCTTTTTTTTTTTTTACTGATTTTGAGACATGGGCTCGGGGTTCGGGTTTTGGCCGGTTTCAGATTTTTGGCATATTTTGTAGTTTTTATTATGGAATTCGATTCGTTAGCCTATGTTGATGGTATTAATCTGATTATGGTTAGATTTGGAGATTTTGGAGACCGAGTCCAGAGACGAGGGCATCCCGGAGTAGATTTTTACGCTGTTAAGGTAAGTAACAGTTTTAACTCTGGCTTTGAGGGTATAAACCCGGAGAATTTGATATCGTGTGACTGTTTGGAGGTGATACCGACGCTAGGTGACGGGCGTGTGGGTGTATATCTCGAGGGATTGAGACTTGGTCCGTCCCGTGAGGCCTCATGACCATCATCTGTGTTTACGTAGTTACTTGTTGTTGAACTTGTCTGCCTTCATCTTAGAGATCCAGCTTAGGCTTTATTCATGCTCACATTATTTGTACTCAGTCATAGAAATTATTGTACATGTTTACCTCAGTCTCTATTATTTGCTAATATGCTGTGATACTTGATGTAGGCTACGTTCCCATATTTGTTGATGATGGTGAGTCTAGTGAGATACATGATTGAGTGAGGCCGAAGGCCTGGTTGTGAGGATATTAATACCATAGCACGTGAGTTGTCCGCGTAGCACGTGAGTTGACCGTGCAGGTCTAGGTATTGATACCATAGCGCGTGAGTTGTCCGCATAGCACGTGAGTTGATCGTGCAGATCCAGGTATTGATATGATGGAATGTGAGTTGTCCGTGCTTAGCGCTTGGGCTTTGGGAGCCCCTCTGAAGTCTGTACACACCCCAAGTGAGCGCAAAGTGTTGAGTGTTTTGAGTGTTGAGTGTTGAGTGCGAGTGATTAGTGATGAAGTGATACTGCTGTGAGGTTGTATTTATTTGTGTTGTTGCTGCATTTATCAGTTAAACTTCTTTGTGGCATTTACTGAGTTATGAAATTTACCTGTTTATTTTTGTTTATATTTAAATTGTGAAAATAAATAATTGGACTGTTTTACTTAGCTCGTCACTACTGCTAAGTTCTTTAGTTATTTTTGTTACTACTCAGTCGGTTGTACTCATACTACAACCTGCACTTTATGTGCAGATCCAGGTGAGTTAGAGCGCGGTGATCGTTGAGTTCAGGATGGCTATTTGTGGAGATTGCAAGGTAGCTGCTAGCGTCCACAAGACCTTGTTACTCCTATTGTCAATTCTTCTTTTGGACAGTTAGACAATTTATATATCTTAGTTTATTATTTTAGACGCTCATGACTTAGTGACACCCCGATGTTTGGGGCTCGTTTCCGTATTTTTCTATATTATATTTAGAATTGATTTAGTTTATAAAAAATTTAAATGTTAAAATATTTTATTAAATTCTTATAAACGGTTTAGTAGTAAAATTTTGGGAAGTAGGCTTGCCTTATAATACGATAGGCGCCATCATGACCATGGTTAGATTTTGGGTCGTGATATTGTGGTACTGGATAATGCCATGTATATCATCAATACGGTAAAAAAGTGCACAACATACATTTTTAGCACATCATCATCATCTGAACGAAGATTCTCTAAAAGAGAACAGACTACTGAAGTAACCTGACAAATGAATAGTAATCAGTAATGTAAAGACCAATAAGTTCTTTCTTTCATTTTTACCAGATTAGAGGACCTTTGAGGATTTATTCCAATTTCGTGCAATATGAAATTGGCTCTCCATTTGGAGCAAGCTACAAATAGAGTCTTGAAAAGCAATTAAAATTGACAGACCGAGATATATTTAGATTCAAGAACTCCAATAATATAGGAGGAATATTGAGGAAAGGCATGATATAGCTAGTGTTGTCTGCTCATTTAAAAAATAAATAAATTATTTCTTATAATGATTTCAAATCCAATTTATTTGACGATGTTTGATAGGTCCTGAATTTAAGATGTTAAATTTGACTTATCTATTACTATTAGTTATGGTAAAAGAAGAAGTTAAGCAATGACTTAGTTTGATAGAGGAAACATTACATCAAAGTTTAAGATCTGAATCGTTTAAAAGTTGTGAAAATTGCATAGAAATTGAATGACGCCCAACATTTGATAATGTTTCAAAAATAGAAAAGGTGTCACATAAATTCAGTAAATCATTTTTTTAAGGTGATGGCAGATGGTACACCCCACGGTGATGGTATTTTGAATGCTTAAGGAAAAGTAATATTTTGAATTAAATAATTGGAGGCGTAAGAACTTTTCAACAGTCATTAACCAACTTGCTCAGATGGAAGATTCGACTTGCTTTTAAAAATGAGTGACAAAGTCCTCGTGGCTTTTCTCTGCATAGGAAAATTGTTGTTAGCCTCCTTTAACTTGTTCATCAAAGGAGTCAAAGCGCCATGGTTAAGAACTCAATAACAATCACCGGCAACAATTTTTCCCACTACCAGCACATCCTATAGTTGGAAAGAAAATACATTAAGAAGGCTAATTGTTATACAACATGTGGGGACGAGGGACATGGGGGGCTCTTCCAATTATAAAACACACCTTCTCGCAAAGACTTTCATCTGGAAAGTCCAGAAGATTTACAAGAACTTCCACCAGCCCATATTCAACCATACCAAATATATCGGCGAGGTGGAAAGAGAAAATGAGTACGAGAATCCAAGCAGAATCGTCCTATGAATGTAAAACCATAAGGATAAAGCAAGTGTGAAGCTAGAACCGCAAGATGCTAAAGAAGGTGCAAAATGGTAATCAACAACACATCACTTTCTACCTTGAGCTGATGCGGGAAATCTGGCGTCTTTATAAACTGAGCAAATCGAAGATTAACACTAAACTTCATAGCTTCGCAAAGACCAAGTTTCTTATCTATGAAAAAAAATTAGCAAAGTAAGTGATATGCAAATTGAATAAAAAAATTAGCAAAAGAGCACCCGGAGCAGACTTAGTCATACTAATAGAGAGCAGTGTTCGGAATTGTTTGGTTGGTATGCCCTGCAGAATTCTATGATCGAACAAAATACTAGCGACCGCTAATTCAAGACTTTCCTTTAAACTAACCATTCAGAAAACTACATATCAGCCTATAGTTGGAAAAATATACAACATGTCGTAGGGGTCTAAAACACACCTGATTGTAATACAGTTTTTGAAATATTGGCTCTAGCAAATTGTCAATCGCAGGAGTCGAGCCACCAAAAGCACTGGTGAGAACCCAAGCAGCTTCAACCTATGAATGCAAAACCATAAGGATAAAGCAAGTGTTCATTATAAAGCTAATAACACATCATTAATTCTCTACCTGGAGCTGCCAAGAATCATTATTGCTCAGAAACTCAACAAATCGAGCAACATGACACCTAACTGCTCCAACATGAAGACTCCTTCTGATATCAACCAAGTTCCGGAGTCGTGAGCCTGGATCATGATTAGTCATCCTCGTATCAACCATATTCCGGACTCGTGAGGTCCCCGCCAGCTGCTGATTGATATCATCCGACCAAACATCCTTGAACCATGATGTCTTCTGTAAACCAATAATTCATTATTAAATCAGCATAAAGAGTGGAACAACTAATGGATTTATATATCAGAAAATAATTAAAATCAACTAGCAAAATTCAGCATTGCAGACAAAGTATGTAAGCGAACACAAGACTCTCCATTATTAATTCTTACTAATTAAAAATTGATGTGCATAATATATTGATAAAACAAGACCCAACCAGAAAAAGAAAAAGGAAATAAAAGCCCACAGGACGCTTTGGAGTTTCTCGCTTGGTCTTTCGGATCTTAACAGCCACAGTAGCACTTCTTAGTTTATCAAGAGGCATCTTCGTAAAAACCCTAGTTAGGGCAATCGCTGCGAATAGTAGTTATATACTACTACTTTACCTTTCGTTAAAAAAAAAAATCTCATACTATATTTACAAAAAAAATCATGAAATTCAAATTTGTTCCTTTTTTGCCCCTAAAAAAACCACGAAGTTATATATGTAGCTAAGAGTTTCAGGATGATCTCAATGCTCACTTTCAATTTTCTTTTTTGAAGATAATCACTTCAATAATTAAATGTCACCTTTGTAAATTCTCACCAACAATATGGTTGAAGAATAATAAGAGGGACATCAACAGCGATGATAAGAGCTCAACAAGATAAGCAAAAGCTAAAGATGATTCATCACTTGAATGATACACAGTAAGGAATTTGTCTTCTCTATTTTGACCAAAATAGTTGTGTCCTTGTAATGACGATACTTTTACGTACTCCAAACGAGTCCTTGTAATGCTAGGGTAAGTGCATCATGAGCTAGCCAGTGTCATTAACTCCGAAAATAATATTTTTTTTTTAAAAGAACCCTTGTCTACTTCTTAGTACTAAAGAACCATTTTTATCATGTTCTTAGACTGGATTTGTCATATTCTCAACAACAAACATAGATAGTTAACTGAATTATACACTGAATTATGCGTAGAATTTCAGGGTACTTAAATTTACTTGGAAAACAGAATGTAAATAATAGCCTGTTTGGCCAAGCTTCTAAAATAATCTTATTTTGAGAAGTGATTTTCTCAAAAGTACTTTTCAAAAAAGTGCTTTTGGTGAGAAGCAGTTTGTGTTTGGCTAATTAATTTAAAAATCACTTTTGAGCATTAATTAGTGTTTGGCTAAACTTTTGAAAACTGTTTCTAAGTGTATTCTTCTCAAAAGTGCTTCTCAGAAAAGTTCTTTTTGAAAGAAGCTGAGGGCATCGCCAAGGTGAGAAAACGAATTCGAGGAAATAGCGAAGTTTCAAAATTGAGCGGATTTCTAAGATAGAAGATGTCATCATTCTGGAAAGGGGTACGCCGAATGATCGGGGACCGTTGTAGTTTATATCAGAGCACTCCCCGCTAAGTCTGATTCCAGTTTATATTAGAGCACTCCCTGCTAAGCTCTGATACCAATTTATCAGAGCACTCCCTGCTAAGCTCTGGTACTTGTTTATCAGAGTTCTTCTGCTTAAGCTCTGATACCAGTTTATCAGAGCACTCCTGCTTAACTTTAAGCTCTAATACCAGTTTCCCAGTTACTTTTTTCTCCTTCTCAAAAAGTGCTTCTGCTTCTCCTCAAAAGCATTTTTTCCATCTAAAAGCTAGGCCAAACACCTCAATTTTGGGCAAAAAAGCATTTTTGGCAAATAAAAAGCTTGGCCAAACAGGCTATAAGACTCAAAACATGTGATTCTGCACTGTCTTCTTGAGGACACCAAGAATATCATACACTGGAGATCTAGCCTACACTTTCCCAGATACTTGTCCAATTGCCGCAAAACCTCACCAACATAGACCTGTATTTGTATAGGCAAAGCGTGAATGCTTTTAATTTTCTTTTCAATTCGGCGAGCATAATCAATAGACGGAGCATCTTTTCCCCCAACCTCCAAGATTTTCTCTAATTTTTCATGACTGTCCCTCATATATTGTTCACTACGGCATGCAACAATAATATCACACATAACCTCTATGCAGGAGACATCCACCAAGTACCTAAATCCAAAATCACAAGTATACATAGAAATTTAGTAAAAATATCACAGATGGTAGAGAGATCATCACCCCCAAAAAGAGGTTAAATACTTGATATGAGCATCATTCCCACTGGCAATAACAATATTAATTGTTGCGACAATAACATAAATGATTTTTTCTACTCGAACAGGGTATGACTTACCAATCACAGTCTGCTCACAATTACAAACTATTTAGATAAATATATATGGTTTCATCCAATGAAAAGTCTCACTAAAAGAAAAGGAAAGAGAAAATTTGGGGGCCATTTTTATTCGAAATACTACAACCAACTATTTCAATCTCATATTCACCTATTCAACTACTCCAAGATCTGTAAAATCTGTTAAGACCTTGGAAGGCATGAAGATAATGTACCCAAGAGCTGAATATTTTAGTTGTCCTGAATATTGAAGACATACCTCTATATCCCAAGCTGGACAATGTTATACATAATGCTGCAAATGCTGGAGACCACCTTTACATCCTCGTTGTGGTTATCAAGAAATGTCACCAGGCAACCAAGGTCGGCACGATTGAACTTAGTTGTGAAGTTAGTTGACGTTAGTAAAAATCAAAGAAATATGCATGCCTTACATAATTACATTTTAACAATTAAAAAAAGGAAGAAAAATATTCCAGTGGTCTTTGCATAATGCACTCATCCAATAATTTTGGCACATAGAAGGTTACATGAGGATTTTGTTTAAAATCTTGTTTGGTGGGAAGCTTTAATGAATGGGTAGGTTCTAAGAAAACTATTAGAAATTAGGCGTTTGAAGCTTTGGGGTGGTATTTGTAACAGGAGTGTCTCCACTGGGAGGTACTAGGATTTCTTTCCACATGAAAGGCATAAGTGGATGGGAGTAAGTTTCATGAAGATGGAAAGGTGGGAAGAGTGGTAGGGGTGTGTCGATCCTAAGTACAAGATTCGATAGTCATTTTGATCATATGTCTTGTTGTACAGAAAAGTCAACGCCAAGGCAACCACTGTCGATAACTGTAGATTTACATAGGTTGCTGACTACTAGTACAATAACTAAAACTAAAAACTAAGAGTAGATGTGTAGGAAATAAAAATGATAGCTATGTAGCATACTAGTAAGTGGGTCCTATATATAGAGAACCCAGACTAAATCCAGTAGCGAACATACTCCCAGTGTTGTAGAGTCAAGAAATGAACTAAAAAGAAAAAGATCAATTTTGAAGTTGATTCAGGAACATGCCGAATTATCATCTGAATGCATACTGTTTATGATGTTTCCACCTTTCAATCATTTTGTTTTGTTTTGTTTTATTTCGTTCCTATTTTCATTGGTTAATTCATCAAAATGTTTGGATTCAAGAACGAAAGCTTTTAAAAGCTCATTAAGACCCATGTACCTTATTAGAACAGCTCTTCTCTCTTCGAATAATACTTATAACTATTTTGAGGATGGGGATTATTACTGAACGAGACTCGTGCCTGAAACATCAATTGATATACATATTATATTCAACCATAAGTTAGATATGAAAAGGTAGGTTAAATGAGAAAACTAAAATATTCCACTCACCGGAGGAGTCCAACCAGCCGGTCATAAATATCCCAGTTATTGTAGTGCTGGATAATGCCATGTATACCATCAATAGGTAAGAAAGTGCACAACATACATTTTTAGCACCTCATCATCATCTGAATGAAGAAGCTCTAAAAGAGAACAGACTACTGAAGTAACCTGACAAATGAATGGTAATCAGCAATGTAAAGACCAATAAGTTCTTTCTTTCATTTTTACCAGATTAGAGGACGTTTGAGGATTTATTCCAATTTCCAGCAATATGAAACTGGCTCTCCATTTGGAGCAAGCTACAAATAGAGTCTTGAAAAACACTTAAAATTGACAGACCGAGAGATATTTAGATTCAAGAACTCCAATAATATAGGAGGACTATTGAGGAAAGGCATGATATAGCTAGTGTTGTCTGCTCATTTAAAAAATAATCAAATTATTTCTTATAAAAATTTCAAATCCAATTTATTTGACGATGTTTGATAGGTCCTGAATTTAAGATATTAAATTTGACTTATCTATTACTATTAGTTATAGTAAAAGAAGAAGTTAAGCAATGACTTAGTTTGATAGAGGAAACATTACATCAAAGTTTAAGATCTGAATAGTTTAAAAGTTGTGAAAATTGCATAGAAATTGAATGACGCCCAACATTTTATAATGTTTCAAAAATAGAAAAAAGTATCATATAAATTGAGTAAATCATTTTTTTAAGGTGATGGCAGATGGTACACCCCACGGTGATGGTATTTTGAATGCTTAAGGAAAAGTAATATTTTGAATTAAATAATTGCAGGCGTAGGAACTTTTCAACAGTCATTAACCAACTTGCTTAGATGGAAGAATCGACTTGCTTTTAAAAATGAGTGACAAAGTCCTTGTGGCTTTTCTCTGCATCGAAAAATTGTTGTTAGCCTCCTTTAACTTGTCCATCAAAGTAGTCAAAGCGCCATGGTTAAGAACACAATAACAATCATCGGCAACAATTTCTCCCACTACCAGCACATCCTATAGTTGGAAAGAAAATACATTAAGCCGGCTAATCGTTATACAACACGTGGGAACGAGGGACATGGGGGGCTCTTCCAATTATAAAACACACCTTCTCACAAAGACTTTCATCTCGAAAGTCCAGAAGCTTTACAAGAACTTTCACCAGCCAATATTTAACTATATCAAATATATCGGCGAGGTGGAAAGAGAAAATGTGTACGAGAATCCAAGCAGAATCGTCCTATGAATGTAAAACCATAAGGATAAAGCAAGTGTGAAGATAGAACCGCAAGACGCTAAAGAAGGTGCAAAACGGTAATCAACAACACATCACTATCTACCTTGAGCTACTGCGGGAAATCTGGCGTCTTTATAAACTGAGCAAATCGAAGAATAACACTAAACTTCATAGCTTCGCAAAGACCAAGTTTCTTATCTATGAAAAAAAAAATAGCAAAGTAAGTGATAGGCAAATTGAATAAAAAAAATTAGCAAAAGAGCACCCGGAGCAGACTTAGTCATACTAATAGATAGCAGTGTTCGGAATTATTTGATTGATATGCCCTGCAGAATTCTATGATCGGACAAAATACTAGCGACCACTAATTCAAGACTTTCCTGTAAACCAACCATTCAGAAAATCACATATCAGCATATAGTTGGAAAAATAATACAACATATCGTAGGGGTCTAAAACACACATGATTGGAATACAATTTTTGAAATATTGGCTCCAGCAAATGGTCAATCGCAGGAGTCGAGCCACCAAAAGCACTGGTGAGAACCCAAGCTGCTTCAACCTATGAATGCAAAACCATAAGGATAAAGCAAGCGTTCGTTAAAAAGCTAATAACTCATCATTAATTCTCTACCTGGAGCTGCCAAGAATCATTATTGCTCAGAAACTCAACAAATCGAGTAACATGACACCTAACTGCTCCAACATGAAGACTCCTTCTGATATCAACCAAGTTCCACAGTCGTGAGCCTGGATCATGATTAGTCATACTCGTATAAACCAATTTCCGGACTCTTGAGGTCCCCGCCAGCTGCCGATTGATATCATCTGACCAAACATCCTTGAATCGTGTTGTCTTCTGTAAACCAACAATTCATTATTAAATCAGCATAAAGAGTATGTAAGCGAACACAAGACTCTCCATTATCATTTATTACTAATTAAAAATTGATGTGCACAATATATTGATAAAATAAGACCTAACCAGAAAAAGAAAAAGGAAATAAAAGCCCATCGGACACTTTGGAGTTTCTCGCTTCATCTTTCGGATCTTTCGGATCTTAACAGCCACAATAGCACTTCTTAGTTTATCAAGAGACATCTTCGTAAAAACCATAGTTAGGGCAATCGCTTCAGATAGTAGTTATATACTACTACTTTACTGTTCTTTTTAAAAAATAAATATATATCTCATATTATATTTACAAAAAAAATCGTGAAATTTAAATTTGTTCCTTTTTTACCCCTAATATTGCGCTATCCCCACCCATCTTGCCGACAAAGCCCCTCAATTTGTTTAAAATATTATATTCCAAAGTAGTGACTAGTTAGTCATCAAATCGAAAACACAAGAAGAGAAAAGAAGAAATCAAGAAAGGAACATGTCTACTTTTTACTATATAATACTACTAGATGAGGAATGTATGTGCTAAGCACGGTCCCAATAGAGTCACTACAGAAATCAATGAATAACGTATAATAGAAACACATGTATTATAATCATGTTTACACTTTACACCATAAACAAACAAACTTAAATGTATGACTCTCATATATTGTATTGCAATTACTTTGCACCACTAAAAAATGCCACCTTCCTGTCACGACCCAAATCCTAACCTGTCGTGATGACGCCTATCGATGGTACTAGGCAAGCCGACAATATCCAAAGTGCTACCAAAATTTAACAGAAAACAAATCAAGAAAATTTGAAATAAGTAAGGTTTTCATAAACAGGGGTGAAACCCAAAACACAGTGCCGAAAATAACTCCCAATATCGGTGTGTCACTAAGTCATGAGCGTCTATACATAGTCAGTCTAGAAATGAAATGACTATAACAGCTTGGATCTAAATACAACGAAAGAAATAGATGAGGAAGGAGAAAACAAGGTCCACGAACGCCAGGCAACAACTACCTCACAATCTCCAATGGTCAGCTACAAGAACTATCAACACCCTTCGCGTCCGGAAACTCCTGGATCTGCACATGAAGTGCAGTGTGTAGCGTGAGTACAGCCAAATAAGTAAGTAACAATAATAAATAAGGAACTGAAAGATAGTGACGAGCTACACAGTTATAGTTCATTTTCAATAATCTCAGCAAGAAGTAGACATGCTTTCAAATTCGGCAATTTAAGTCAAATCAGTTTTATACAGTTTCAAGTTCAAGTAAAAATCGGATATAAAATCTTTCAGAAATTTCAAAACAATGATAGATAACAACTAACTGCAACAACAAATGAAAGCAAGTACAACCTCTTAGGGAAAAAGTCACTCAACTCTTCTCAACAACTCAATCACTCGGCTCTCAGCCCTCAGCACTCAATAGGTACATGCGCTCACTGGGGGTGTACAAACTCTGGAGGGGCTCCTATAGCCCAAGCGTTATAATCCGCACGGACAACTCACATGCTATAATATCATATCAAGATCCGCACGGACAACTCACATGCTACAATATAAATGTCTGGATCCGCACGGACAACTCACGTGCTATGGTATCAATATCTCACCATCAGTCCCTCGGCCTCACTCAGTCATCAACCTCTCTAGTCTCTCGGGCTCTCAGAAATAAGGAAAATTAGCCCAAATAGCAATAACATGATGTATTAATAAGAATAACAGAGACTGAGAAAGAAGTTTCAGTCAGATTGTTCATGTTTATGTTGCTCGTCCAACTAATACACGAGTAGATGCCACGATTGGACAAAGGATACTTGTTTTTGATTGTGATTTTGTTCAACTGCCTACAATCAATGCACATCCTCATAGAGCCATCCTTTTTCTTCACAAACAGAACCGATGCACCCCAAGGTGACACACTAGTCCTAATAAACCCCTTCTCATGGAGTTCCTGAAGTTGCTCCTTCAACTGCGCCGACGCCATACGGTACAGAGGAATAGAAATGGGCTGAGTGCCCGACACCAAGTCAATACCAAAGTCTATATCCCAGTCGGGCGGCATGCCCGGCAGGTCTGCATGAAATACATCCGCAATCTCTCGCACCGCTGGAATAGAATCAATAGTAAGGTTCTCTGCTCTAACATCCCTCACAAAGGCCAAATAAGACAGACAACCCTTTCCAACCATCCGTTGGGCCTTTAAGTATGAAATCACCCTACTGGGAACATAGTCTAGAGAACCTCTCCACTCAATCATAGGCAACCCCAGCATCGCCAGTGTCACGGTCTTAGTGTGAAAATCTAGAACAACATGACATGGAGACAACCGGTCCATACCCAAGATCACATCGAAATCAACTATACTAAGCAACAATAGATCAACCCTAGTCTCCAATCCCCCAACAGTCACCACACACGACCGATATACACGGTCCACAACAATAGTATCGCCCACCGGTGTAGATACATGAATAGATGAAACTAGAGACTCACGAGGCATATCCAAATAAAGAGCAAAATACGATGACACATATGAATAAATGGAACCAGGATCAAATAATACATAGGCATCCCTTTGGTAAACTGAGACAATACCTGTGATCACTGCATCTGTAGCAATGACATCTGGTCTGGAGGGAAGAGCATAGAATCGAGCCTGACCGCCACCTGATCGGCCTCCCCCCTAGGGCGACCTTTAGCTGACTGGGCTGGTGCCATCGGCCGAGAACTCTGATGTGGAGTCCCACTCAACAACCTAGGGCAATCTCTCTTGATATGACCAAGATCCCCGCACTCAAAACAACCCACCCTAGGGAGGAACTGTTGCTCCTGATACCCCGAGGAACTACCCGTAGAAACCTGAATAAATGAGGCATAGTGAGAACTCTACGCTGGTAGTGCAATGAATGAAGACTGGCCTGAGCGAGCAATGTGAGAACCGTGGCTGACTGATGCACCACGATGAGTTGGTCGAGTCGTCTGAGCATGCCTATAAGGATGACCCCTGTCGTGGTGGAACTGACCCCCGGAAGGAACACCACTAAAACCACCTGATCCCCGAGACCTCTTGGCCTCCCTCTCAACCCGCTCCTGGCTACGGACCAGCTCTATTTGCCGAGCAATGTCAACAACCTCCTCAAATGTAGCACCAGACACTCTATCTCTAGTCATAAGCACCCGCAGCTGAAATGTGAGGCCATCAATGAACCTCCTGATCCTCTCCCTATTAGTGGGAACCAACCAAACCGCATGATGGGCCAACTCATAAAATCTCATCTCGTACTGTGTCACAGTCATATCATCCTGACGTAACTGCCCAAACTGCCTGTGCAACTCCTCTCTGCGGGATTGCAGCATGTACTTCTCCAAGAAGAGAACGGAGAACTCCTGCCACGTATGTGGCGCTGCCCACCAGGTGAAAGCAGCCCCAGTAAACTGAAAAGTAGTGAACAAGACCCCACTGGTCTCTAGAATACCTGATGTACGGAGAATTCTATGACATCTGTCCAAGAAACCCTGGACATCCTCCGACTCTGCCCCGCTGAAAGATGGAGGCTGAAGTCTACCAAACCTCTCTAGCCTCCGATGCTCATCATCAATCATAACAAGGACCACATGGGCCTGAGCAGCTGCCACCAGCTGGACTGGTAGTGCCCAAGGTGTCTGGAGTCCCTGCATCACCTGCTCGGGTGTGCGGGTGGCGGGAGTCTGAGTACCTCCCTCAGCTTGAAAGGTGGCTGCTGTGACCGGAACTACGACCGCCTGAGCAAGACTGTGCACACGGTCAGAATCTGAGCTAAGGCCTCCTGAAGGCCTGGAATCACGATGGGCACAGGCGGTGCCTTAGCTGGCCCCACTTGCGCATCCACAACTGGACATGCTCCTGAACTGGGGCAACTGGTGGATCTGCAGGTGCTGCTCTAGCTGCTGTACGAGATGCACCTCTGCCCTTACCGTGGCCTCTACCTCTCACGACCCTGACTGGTGGTACTGGTGACTGTCCGTCCTGCCCAATAGTATGTATCCTCACCATGTGTGAGAGAATAGAACAACAGAAGTTTAGTTACCAGAATCAACAGATTCGCACGACAAGAATTCAAGAATGTGAAATTTCCTAAGGGTTCGGCAGCCTCTCGAAAATAAATACAGACGTCTCCGTATCGATCCGCAAAACTCTACTAAACCTGCTCATGACTCGTGAGACCTATGTAACTTAGGCTCTGATACCAACTTGTGATAACCCAAAACCTAACATGTCGTGATGGCACCTATTGATGGTACTAGGCAAGGCAACAATTTCCAAAGTGCTAACAAAATTTAACAGAAAACAAATCAAGAAAATTTGAAATAAGCAAGGTTTTCATAAACATGGGTGAAACCCAAAACACAGTGTAGAAAATAACTCCCAATATCGGGGTGTCACTAAGTCATGAGCGTCTATACATAGTCAGTCTATAAATGAAACGACTATAACAGCTTGGTTCTAAATACAACGAAAGAAATAGATGAGGAAGGAGAAAACAAGGTCCACGAACGCCAGGCAACAACTACCTCACAATCTCCAATGGTCAGCTACAAGAATTATCAACACCCTCCGCGTCCAAAAACTCCTGGATCTGCACATGAAGTGCAGTGTGTAGCGTGAGTACAACCGACTCAGTAAGTAACAATAATAAATAAGGATATGAAAGATAGTGACGAGCTACACAGTTATAGTTCATTTTCAGTAATCTCAGCAAAAAGTAGACATGCTTTCAAATCTAACAATTTAAGTCAAATCAGTTTTATACAGTTTCAAGTTCAAGTAAAAATCGGATATAAAATCTTCCAGAAATTTCAAAACAATGATAGACAACAACTAAGTGCAATAACAAATGAAAGCAAGTACAACCTCTTAGGGAAACAGTCACTCAACTCTTCTCAACAACTCAATCACTCGGCTCTCAACCCTCAGCACTCAATAGGTACATGTGCTCACTGGGGGTGTACAAACTCTGGAGGGGCTCCTACAGCCCAATCGTTATAATCCGCACGGACAACTCACGTGCTATAATATCATATCAATATCGGCACGAACAACTCACATGCTACAGTATAAATGTCTGGATCCGCACGGACAACTCACGTGCTATGGTATCAATATCTCACCATCAGTCCCTCGGCCTCACTCAGTCATCAACCTCCGGGCTCTCAGAAA